AGCAGGAATTGTGATGATCCGGAGCTCAGCGTTGCAGCCACAGCAGCCTACCTGTATAAATCCAGGTAGCAGCAGAGTCCTTGGAATGTTTATGTTGCTTTTCAAAGTCCGAAAGCATGCCTGAATTAGGTAATTCCCAAAAGCGAGGGCAGCTGGGCAGGCTGTTTTGGAAATGACTAGAGGATTGCTAACCCCGTAGCTGTCTCCTCTGCTCAGCACAACAGTGGCTGTTGCTGCCCTGCTGCTGGGTTGGGAATGAGAAAGCTGTGAGCAAATGGTGCGTCGGCCCCGCGGCCCATCCGAGCAAAGGGGAAGATGCTTTGTTGACTCAAGCTACTTCTGGAGCTTGTTATTCCTTCAGTTCTTGCAGTCGAAGTGGGATGACCCAGGGAACGATGCTGTAGGTCAACATGAGGTTTGCTGATTAAAATCTGCTGTTTATGCTGTGAAAAAAGCCTGAGCCTTATGCTCCTACACACCTGTCTGCGAGTGTGTTTAGTCCTTTCTCATACAGATTGCTTCTCCTGTAAATGGGTTTCCTCTTCTGTCCCTTCCTACCCCACCTCTCCACCTCAGGCCATTGTTCCTGCTCTCACAGGATGACAGAAGGAGCCTCGTGCCCTGGATTGTGTGAGCAGGCTTCAACCCTGTGCCTGTGCATTCCAGCCGTGGAGGAAGGTGGTTCATGATCGTGACGGCAGCAGGAGCTGTGATGTTCCAGCTGAGCAGGGTGACCGCAAACCGTGCCGCCTGCCCGTGTCTCTGCACACCGAGGTGCAGGCAGATCAAGGTTTAGCTGGTCCGGGATGTAGGGAGGAGCAACCAGCTTGCAGATGTTTCATGGTTGTGCGGGGGATCTCAGTTTCGCTGAGTTTCTGCTGCTTAGATTGCTTGGATGTGCCTGCTCTAATTAAATTTCATGTGGAGGACTTCCCCTGTGTATTCATCCTTAGATATTATTGGAAAAAGGGGTAATTTCTGTCAGAGTCTGCAGGTGAAGGCAGAATTTAAAACTACTTCTGAGCTATAGTAAAAATATTTGGTATTTTTTATAGATTTCTACACATTCACTCGGATTTTTAGGGAAATGGAACTGCTACCAGATAGGGATTTCATCGTTCTGCAAAGCAATGCAAATGAAAATAGGAAAATACCTGCTTGCCCAAAAGACCGGGAGAGGAAACTTCACCTTTCACCTCCCTACAAACTTTGCTGGAGTTTTAAGTCAGAGCACACAAACAGCAGTGGGACTCACCTTTTCCCCTCTTCCTAAATGGGATTAAAGGAGGGAACAGCCAGAACAGTGCCAGTATCTCACTGCACACAGAGCTTAGTGGATGCAGGCTCCAGGCTAAATAAGGAGTCTAAAGGAGCTATAATAAGGCTGGATTACAAAATGAGTATTTATTTCCTCCCTGAGAGCTGCAGTCAAGATCACTTGAAATATTTAGGAAGCTCATCTGTCCATTACGATTACTGAGAGCAGCCTGAAATCTGATTTCTTCCCTTTTTAATAGCAGTCCTGAAAGTGCAGCCCGTGCCCCGGGTAGATTTGAATCTTCACTTAATTGTGCAGGTTTGTGGCGTCTTTGCTGTGCCATGCAGGCAAGCCAGAGAAGAGCAGCAAGAAGCAGGGGGTCCCATGGGTGTGAAAACCCCCCTCCCCAACCTGCTGTGAGCAGCGACTGGGCTTGCCGGGGAAAGCTGGTGCTGGTGGGTGAAGGGGGAGGATGGACCCAACCCTCCGGGGTGCAGGGAGTTGGGGTTTCAGGGCCAGCGCTGACAGGACGCGGCGATGAGCTGCAGGAAGGACTACGTGGCCTTCCTGACTCATTAATGCACCCAGAGCTGCCACTTCACAGGGTGCAGCTGTGACACGCTTTTATTGTGCTATTTCAAAACTCCGATTGTTGGAGCTAGGATAAAAGTCTCGATGATGTGAGATCTCTGGAGATTAGGACGTAGGTTTTTCCTGTTGGTACATACAGGCATATCTTCCTTGCACCCTTACCCGACGTCTCCAGGCGTAACTGCGGCGTATT